ACACCACTTTTTGAGGCACGTACGTTTTGTGTTCGCGCGCCTCCGCCCCCCCCCCCCAACTGCCCGAACATGTATCGTGCTGCTATTGTTGAGATATCCCCTATATAATATATATCTATATAATTCCGCTCACATATTATTGCACTCTGTGCCACTCATTATGACCTGTCATTTTGATCATTTTAGTCTCGTTGTCCGACGACAGCCTTCTGTTGTTGTTGTTCTTGTTTTCTTTTTCTTTTCCCAGCACTATCGGACATTCTTCTTTATGTGTGGGTAGCTCTGGTCTTGAAAGAGCTGTAGCTCAATCCTTCATTGTTTTTTTTATCCTCCGGTTTTGTAAGCGCTTATGGCCTTGAGATATGTGTAGGGAACTGCCCAGCCCTAGGTAACTCATTCATCTGCTTCCATTCTAACTCATTCATCTGCTTCCATTCTAACTCATTCATCTGCTTCCATTCTCACACTGAGTAGAATTCGAACTCAGGTCGGTATTTCAACAGCCTAGGGGTGTACTAGCTGAGCTAGGCCCATTTGTGCAGATCTGTTTTTATCCTTTTTTTTTCTTTTTTTTCTTTTTTTTCAGATTTGTTTCTTGTTTCGTTGTTGCATGCCTTTGTTCTTTTTTATTTCCTGTTCTTTTCTCATGCCTTTTTCTTTGTAAGTCTGATGGAAGCAGGAACACTCGACAAAAGTTCAGAGAACTATCGTCCATTTTTTTTCTTACAATGTTTGATTGTTCGGAAATCTCCTGATGATGATGGGGCTCGATCAAATGCCCAGCATTGGATAAGATTTGGACCAGGTACGTTCTGACTGATGGAACATCAAGAATGCACAGGGCAGTGTTACCACGTCCAGATACATTTCGAATGAATGATATGTAGTGGAGCGAGGGCTGACGTCATATCCAATTCGACAGGGATTAGATTTGAGAAATTTGGTGAATCTCATCTCCGTTTTGAAGGAATAAAACAAAGGGTCTTTTTTTTTTTCCCTTTTTTTTTAATTAAAGCCCATTCCCGCCATAACCCAGCTGGCTGCTACCCTCTTCCCCCGAACACGACGCACCCACTCACTTATGTATGCAACCCATCTTTGCGGTTAAATACAGTCATCAGTTCGGGAGAAGACTGTGGTTCTCTCATTCATGATTTGATGCCCTCGTTCGACCTCACAGAGAGTTCTGCGCTACTTCTGCGATACTTCTGCCCGCCTTGACATTCGATCCCATTACTGGGTTCGTTCTGGCGATGTGAACGGAGTGTCATCCCTCCGCTCCCTTCCCCTCACCAACCCTCCCCTCCCCTCCCCTTCCCTCCCCCTGTCTCTTATACACATCTAGATGTGTATAAGAG